GGCATACAGGACGTGGACATGTCCCGTGGAGCAATTGTTCAATTTGAGCTTGCTTTAAGCAACCAGGGGTAGGTCTTAGAAATCTCAGGGCCTGCTGTAGCTGAGCAAACCAAGCTGCCAGAGTAACTGTGAGAAGCTCCCACGGCAATGACTCCCACATCGCCCAATTAAGGAACTCAGAAATACTGTTACCAGCAGCTGCTTCAAGGACAAGGTTTACGTGACAGCTAATCACAGGGGTTCTTTTCTTGCAGGTGGGGTTGTTTTCTTGTAACTGTTTGTCTGAGTGCTTTTGACCAATGATCTTGTGTGAGACACTGTCTGCCCCTGTTAAGTTCACTATAAAAGTTAGGCTATTCGGGCAATAAAATGGAGCTTGCTGATCACTCATATTGAGTGCGCTTGTCTTCCTTCCGTCGACAACAAATGTCCTCGCAACAGCAGTGGGAATGTTGCAAGGGTCAGAGGAATGTAGGCAGGGCCAGGAGGTGAAGGTGGAGTCATCGAGTGCCCTGTCGGAAAACGTGGTGGCAGCAGTCGACAAAATGGCGTGGCTGACAAAATGCCTGTGGCCGAGGGGGGGAAGGGACGCAAACTAGTGATAGGGAGAAGGGAGCAGGGAAGGACTCGGGGAAAGATGGGCCCTCTGTAGAGGACTGTGGGGCGCCTTGGTGCGCCCCTGTCTTTAAGGCTTCCCTACCTGAGAGTAAAACCAAGGAGGAAGGTTAGAACGGTGGTGGACAATGGTGGGGAACATGATGATCAGATTCCCGGTGTGCGAGGTGCCTTCTGGTGCAGTTCTGCTTCTACTCCAGTGTTTTCCTTGCCTCCATTGTGCCTCTCCGGCCTTTCCGCGTCTATGTCAGGGACAAGTATGTTGTTGCCGTTGCCTCCACCATGTATGGAGCCGACAGCACCTCTGGAAGAGGGAGTGGAGGATCAGGGATGGGATCAAAGGCAAGAGTGTCCTCGAGGAGGACAGAGGGAGTCGCCTTTATTTGGGGCAGGCAGTCTTGGTGTGAAAACAGCAAGAGGGAGTGGAGAAACGGGTGAAGGATTTGCAGGAGCGCATGGAGTGGTTGTTGAAAGGGTTTACAAAAATGCAGATGCAGATGGGCAATGTGGCAGCAGCCGCTGAGGCACAGTCAAAGGAGTGGGAGAAGGCGAGTCAGCGTGGGGGCTGGAATGCAGTGGCACGGGAGTGTGTTTTGAAAGGACTTCAATTACAACCTGAAGGGTCCCTTCAATGGGACTGAGCACGTAGCCAGTTATTATGCAGGACAAGGAGAGGTTGGGAACCTATAGCCTGTAAGTTGTTGATGCAGTTGAAAAAAGCTATTTCGGAGGCGGGATTTGAGGGGGAGCAACACGGTTGCTGATAGACACTATTGCTGCTCTGGGCCACTCATATTTGATTGGCGACAGGTAGCCCGGCTATGTTTAATGCCAGCGCAGACTACTTTTTGGGAACAGAATAAAAGGTACTGGCAGAGCAGGCTCTTGGCGGCATGTAACACGCAGGGGCATCCTGCCGTGGGTGCCGATTCGGACCTGCTGCAGGGAGACACAGACCTGACGGCACCACGATGATTGTTACCTGCACATCAAAAATGTTGCAGTCTTTCATTTCACGTATGCAGGCGGGTGGGCTCGCAAGGCTGGAATTGGGGAAGGAATTCAGGCACATATCTTACTACAGCATGAGGGGACGGTCATTATATTGCACCAAGGGGACAGTCGACGCCCACTGCTTTTTGGATATTGTGTGGCCCCAAAGGTTGCATTGCCGCAGTGGGAGAAC